GACAGACAAAATGGCCGCCCTTTGTTCTTAAATAGCGTAAAAATATGGTATATCAAGGTTGTGGACCCTCGAGGTCAAAATTTTTATCCGATTTTGTTGAAACTTGAAATTTAAGTTTATAACACAAAGATCTCAGTTCCTTTCGATATTTGCGGATAACAAATTGTAATTTCCTGAATTATGACCCTTGATTGTAGGAAAAATCGCGCTTTTAGCTTGTAGACCCTATAGGGGTCATAATTTTTATCCGATTTAAAAAAAAAACGTTTTAGTGTATTACCGTTAACCCAAAGGAAGGCTGAGTTCGAGTTTTGTGAAAATCGGCCAAAAGGCCATTTTGTCTGTCAGTTTTGGGCCGATTTTCACGAAATTCGAACTCAGTCGTCCTTAGGGTGTAACGGTGATATAATAATACGTTTTTTTTTTTAAATCGGATAAAAATTATGACCTCTATAGGGTCCACAGGCTAAAAACGCGATTTTTCATACCATATTTTTACACTATTTGAGAACGAAGGGCGACCATTTTGTCTGTCAGTTTTGGGCTGATTTTCACGAAATTCGAACTCAGCCGTTCTTAGGGTGTAACGGTGATATAATAATACGCTTTTTTTAAATCGGATAAAAATTATGACCTCTATAGGGTCCACAAGCTAAAAACGCGTATTTCCGTACAATCAGGGGCCATAATTCAGTATACACCATATTTTTACGCTATTTGAGAACGAAGGGAGGCCATTTTGTCTCTCAGTTTGGGGCCGATTTTCACGAAATTCGAACTCAGTCGTCCATAGGGTGCAACGGTGATATAATAATACATTTGGTTTTTAATTGGATAAAAATTATGATCTCTATAGGGCCCACAAGCTAAAAACGCGATTTTTCGTACAATCAGGGGCCATGATTCAGGAAGTTACGGTCCGATATGCGCGAATATCGACAGGAACCGAGATCTTTGGGTTATAAACTTACATTACAACAAAATCGGATAAAAATTGTGACCTCTGCAGTGTTCAAAAGCTAAAAACGTGATTTTTCGTACAATCAGGGGCCAAAATCCATGAAGTTACAGTCCGATATATGCCAATATCGAAAGGAGCCGAGATCTTAGGGTGATAAACCTATATTTCAAGTTTCATTGAAATCGGATAAAAATTGTTACCTGTAGACTGTTCACAAACAATTGTGGACGGACGGACGGACAGGGGCGACGACAATATACCCACATGAAAATGTGGGCGTATAAAAAAAAACTATAGTTATGGGTATCAAAAAAAACCTCTAAAAAACAGCAGGACCTACTGAATATTTAAGACCATGTTATGTCAAAGGTCAAGGTCAGACAGGTAAGTCAAGAGTCAAAATATTGTTACATTGGTATCAAAAGAAACAATGACCACCTTAAGGTTTCGGTACATTTCATATGAACACATTTATAACACCACGATACTGTAATATAACAAACTATTAGAACGATAATAGTCAGAGTGGGTATACGTCTTTACATTTCATTATTAGGTTGGGTGCGTTATGTCAGGGTGGGTTCATAACATTTCATTGTTAGGGTGGGTGCGTGAGTATTATTGTCAGAATTCGTTACGGGTGTGCATTTACATGTGATCATCAATCGTAAAAATGACAATAATAGATATCGGCGGACTAGTGAATATGTGGACTAGTGCCTGCACGTAAGAGAACCCATGGCAGAATTCGATGAAGGGTAAGTGGAAACGCCGCTGTCCGGGCAACATTTCCTTTACATCATACTACATTACATGCACATGACGTGTTCCTGTCTTCATTAGCCGGGTTGATGCAGAAATATAGGACGTTAAACACCCATTTCATGTTGGTGTCACTAATTTGTAACACCCCGCCTCCTCTCTCCGTCAGCTGTAAAAAATCGTCACAGCATGGTGATTAACCTGCTAAAAAGAGGTATATTACCAATTCATCTATATAGATTAAGGTTCCAGTGGCTTTAAAATGATATCGACATTTCTACAGATGTATATCGATTGGAGTGACATATGATGTTGATATATGTTCATGATTGAAACCCTTGCTACATCATAAATATGTATTATTGACTGTTATTACTTTGTAATAGTACAGTTGTACTAAGCGTGGATCCAGGAATTTGATCAAAGAATGGGATGAGTTGGACAATCTAGTATATTGGAACAATGTCAGTTTTACTACGCTAAAGGAAGGTCCAGGAACGGTTCGTAACATTTTCAGTAATTACGTTGAATATCTACAATTATATACAAAAGAAGTAAAAAAAACGTACTTAATTTTACTTTACAAAATATAATACTAAAGTAGCTAAACGTCCACTTCCAACTATTTACACTCCTTAAATATCTAACTAATTCAATTTGTGTCCAATCAATACGATTAGTTAAATTCCCAAGGCTAGAGCAAGATTGCAGGTCAATTACACTTGAAAATAAAGAGAGAGAGAGAGAGAGATGGGGTTTAACGTCCACTCGACAGAAATTAGGTCATTTCGGGACTAACATATGGTTTAATTTTATTTCAATAATTCGCTTGCGCGTAGGGGTCTTTAGCAGTGGGAGGAAACCGGAGGACCCGGAGAAAACCCACGAGGTTGGACAGGCGACCCTACTCCTTGTACATTGTAGTTATAACCGTTACGTATAAGTCCACGAGAAAACCATGCAAAATAACGCAAAAGTATTAAGGTGGCGAGTCGGAAATTGAGTTCGTATTCAGAGGGTCTGATTACCTGAATAGTACTTCTGAGCTAAAAGAGGCCAGAGTTTTGATTAGATATTTCTGAAACTTCCAAGGATCTTGTATTATGATGGGACGAGGATCCCTATGTTTTCTTCCAAGTAGGATTCATATGTTTAAAGTTTTATGTCCTTTTTTTATCAAAACTTGTCCGCACTGCTTATAGTGATCGATAGCACAATATAGGCCACATGCTTGTTAAGATTTTTCTGAAACTTTCAGAAAGCTTGTAGTATTATATTAAGATTGGGAGACCCATTTACTTTCGACTAGATCTGATTAATATGTCCCTTTTGTTTGTCGAAACTACATGCTATTGTAGTAGGACAGGTTTCGGATACTAGATGCAGTGGCAGCTATGTCATGAAACAAACAATAAACAAAATATAATTTGATACTTTTTATTATAAATAAAAACCAACGGCTGCCGGGCAGGATATGCCCACATTTTCGAGAGATGGATAGAAAACAAGCTAAAACGAAAGTGATTTTTCCTACAATCAAAGGTCATAATTCAGGAAATTACAATTCGATATGCGCAAATATCGAAAGGAACCAAGATCTTTGTGTTATAAACTTACATTTCAAGTTTAAACAAAATCGGATAAAAATTGTGACCTCTATAGGGTCCACAACCTTGATATACCATATTTTTACGCTATTTGAGAACGAACGGCGGCCATTTTGTCTGTCAGTTTTGGACCGATTTTCACGAAATTCGAACTCCGTCGTCCTTAGTGTCTGACAGTAGAACGCAATGTCTAAACTACTGGAACACCATTAAAAGCGAAATCACCGAATTCTTCATCAAGAATCAAGCGAAAAGGCCACAATGCCTATATCTCCAGTGTCTGACAGTAGAACGCTATGTATAAACTGCTAGAACACCATTAAAAAATTTTCTTCACGGATCAAGTGACCCAATGCCGATTCAGCGCTCCCCACAGCGAAGCGGCAAGTAGATATATACTATTTCCCCCGAAGCCAAATCAGAATTATTATCTAAGAATAAGAAATGCGCTCAAGCAATGTAGCCCATACATGAAAGAAAATGGAAATCGACACAATCTGGTTGATATGAGGCAATTAGCCTGTGTCTTACATCTGATAAGGTTACCATACCCAGAGAGTTCTTAACTGAAACTCACCCAATGAATGATACGCGCAGAGTTTTATGTGTAGGATAAAGCACGAGACTGAGGTTATGCTGGAGAAAGAACGACTGAAGAAAATAACCCTAGAAAAGAACAACTAACAGTAAACTTCAACTATATATCAAAATTGAGTTCATTTATAGAAAACTTGCAAAATATGCATGGCTAGACACCCTTTTCATTTTACCAACTGACAACCACATGAATAATGTTATGGAGTGAAAAGCTTCGAATGATCATACGTGGAAAATTAAGAACGATTCACGAAAGAATGAGAAAAATATCTTTAAAAAGCATCAATACACTGTACCCCACAAGCATTGGATTTTGAAGCGAATCGCTTTTCTACAGTATTTGTTGCGCAGAATACGGTGCCGAGTGGTAATCATTCCGCCATTGGGGCGTTTTCGAGATATTCGGGGTCAAAGGACAAATGAGATCATTTACCCTGAAAGTGAATGCGCAGCCATTCTTCTATCATGTAAACATGCTGAAAATTACCGAACGTAATCACTCTTTCAATAAAAATGTAAAGTTAAACAACAGGACCAAAAGAATTCGAAACCCGTTTCAAAAATACGTAAAAATTGTCAAATCGAAATCGGTGAAATTCATGAAAACTCATAAAAAATTTGCAAACTTGTAATCACGTCGTTAGATAAGTGTTTCCCGGTCCCAGATTAACGTCGGTTTTCCCAGACTGGGATTTCCAGAAATCCACGCGACCTGCATACTGGAGTCCAACCATGAAACTATTCAATTGTATCTCGAAAACGCCACAACGGGCCATCGGCAATGTATTCTACGCATTTGATGGACACACCCTCCTCCTCCGCCCCCTCAGAACTGAGCCTTAGGTCTATGGCAATATGAACCGAATCGGCCGACCTCCATCTTATCACCTTCTGTCACTTAACGTAAAACCGATAAACTATTCGACGCAAAAATGTCAGCTTGATTTATGGTTGTCGCGTTTCGGGTAAATACATTTAAAATTGATTATTGATTAATATTGATTAATTATTTAAAATAACATTGACGCTAAACGTATACAAAATATAGATGTCCTTGTTAGACAATATACAAGTCATGTCTAAATTCAGAGTTTTCAAACTTTTCAAATTCAAATTATTGAATCTCGTTTTCTTTTTTATTATTCCTTTATCACTTTATTGCGTGATTTATGCACACGAATATTTCAAACAAGTGACCCGACTCCGAATGGCTACAGTTGGTAAGTATTTTATTAATACTTCAAGCAAAATGAAACAAACCAACAGGCAACTCGTCAGTAATTTGTGAAAACTTTGAACATAATAATTTGTAAGCAAGGTAGTGAAACAGTAAGTAATTTGTACATAATTTGTGGATACATTCACCAAAATAAAGTTAGTAAATAATTTGTGAATACTTTCACTAAAATGAAGTTAGTAAATAATTTGTGAATATTTTCACCAAAATGAATTAATTTGTGAATATTTTCACCAAAATGAATTAATTTGTGAATACTTTCACCAAAATAATGTTAGAACGTGACTAACGTAGACAAAATGAAACTAGCAAACCTTCTTAATGCTTTAAACAGGCTGCTACTAACAAATAATGTAAGCAGAATAAACCCAAAGAAACAGTTGATAACGGTGAATATACTTTAAGCATAATGAAAGAAGCCTGTAACTTAAAGCAGCTGGTTGATCTAATGGAACCTGTAAAACAATAATGATTATCTCTAGTGTATAATCCTTTATTGGCATTTAGCAATTGGAAACATAACAAAACTATACAGTTATATGGGACAACAATCACTGGTTTATTATACACAAGCACGACGTTTCGATAAGTATTCTCTTATCGTTATCAAGCACATGCGTCTGGTTTTTCCAGTCTACACCGATGGTATTTATTGTGCATGCTCTCCAGATAAGAATATAGCGTCACCGTTTTACTTGACTTGTGGAATATGTCTAGCCCTGTTCTTTGAGTCCCTTGTTCAATGGTACCAATGGTAAGATGTTTATTTTGTCTTAAATATTGGATATCAGAAGCCCATCTTTTCCCTGTAAGATCACAAGACCAATGTTGATTTGAATTGACAAATAATTCGTGTTTTCAATGTCGAAGATTTTTGATGATACTGAGTTAGAGACTTAGCTACTTTAATTCAGATGGTATTTATTTTTCAGATTTACATTTGCCACTTACAAATTCCGCTCAAAGAAAAAATCAGGTATTTATCTTAATTAAATAAGTTCCATTATACTCGCTAATTAAAATCACAGCTGGTGCTCGAAAGAATAGAGGGAGCTACTGTGGCTAAGGGAGTAAGACGCTGGATCGCTAGCCTGGCGGTCGCGGGTTCGCACCCGGTGTTGGCGGAGAAACTTCATCGGGATTTTCGGCGTGGCTTCCGCTTGTCAGTGGTGGAGGACGGAGGACCTGATAAGGAAAGTAGGACGTTAAACCCCATTTCATCTCATTTACAAATTGTTGATTTAATTAGCCTAAGCAGAAAATTCTCATCATGATATCCACCCAATGAACAAATATACCAAGTTTGAACATTCCACAACAAGGATGAGTGTTGAGTGTTATTGTATCCCAAATAGTGTGAAAGACAGGCGGGCGAACCCATTTTATTAGTCCCATACTGTTTTCTATAAATTAACGGTCAAAATTAGTACATGTACCTCGGATCACTTAAGCAAACAATGTTCACCCAATTAGCATCTACACCAAGTGTGAACATTCAATCTCAGTAAGAGGCAGAGCTGTTGTGTTCTAAAAGGTGTGACGAACTTGATCAACCCATTTGAGCATTCCTCTGGATACTGTTAACAACTCAGACAATAATGATTATCCTGTTAGATATTCATATCCGCAAATTGTGGTTTGGGCTATTCCGATTTATTGATACCCCCAAAATAATTGCGTCATCACAACTATCCGTAGATGTCCGCCACATTAGAAATTAATTTCAAACAATAATTATTGTTTAATACTTCAGAAACTGAATATAGACGATATTGGGCCAATTCTTCAAGAAAGGAAAAGACGATTACATTCGTATTGTAGTGGAAAAGAACTCGAGAAAGTCGGCAACAACGATGATGAAGTGCTTAAAAAACATTTTTACCATGATATTAAACATAATTTCTTGTATTGTTCTGTAGAAAAGATCGGTTCAACATTTTGGAAAAGATTACTTCAGATTATTTCGGGACACTCAAAAAAGTCAAGTCCTTTCGAAATAGTAAACGAATTTGACGATAATGCACCAACTTTCAAAGATGCGTCTTTTGACTATATTCATGCGGTTCTACAAGATTCTTTAAAGTTTGTCATCGCCCGGGATCCATATTCGCGGCTTTTCTCGGCTTTTGCTAATAAGTTTTTTCTAGTTAATTCCCGCTTTCGAAAGGTTGTTGGGACAAGGATTATTCGCACTATTCGAGTAAATGCAAGTAAAAAAGCTCTGAAATGTGGCCATGACATAACATTTCCTGAAATTGTCAAGTATCTTATTGTATCAGAGAAGAACAATTGGGGAAGAGATGGTCATTTTACTCCACTTTCTGATCACTGTCGGCCATGTCAAATTAAATACGATATAATTGCTAAAATAGAGTCTTTCAAAAAAGATACGTTATTTGTATTGGGCAAATTAAACATGACCCACATTCCATATTTAATGGAGGATATGAAAAATCTAGAAGAAAGTTCAGAGATGGATTCTATAGCTATTGTGTCACGCCACTTGATAGAGAATATATTAGAGTTTCGAAATTGTGTTTCTAAAGCGGAGGGATTTCGTCGCGCTTGGCGCAATTTTCAGTTCACAGGTGTAATATCTAAAGACATCCGATATCCCTTAACCACCGAAGAAGAAAAAACAGTTACGAATAAAGAATTAAGGAACATGTTTGAAAGGGCGTTTAGAGCATCGGGACCAAGAGATTTGCGTTCAAAGAATCGTCAGTTAGTTTTAGAAGAAGCTTATAGCCAAGTTCCTTTACCGGATTTACTGGCATTAAGTGGTCTGTTTAAGACTGATTGTGGTGCCTTTGGATATGATTGTAAACCGGATTATATTTTCGAAAGAAGAGGAAATCCAAAGTCGAACTTACTAGATGTTTGGAGTGCCTAATTATTTTATACTTGTTAAAAATAAAAAAAATGTTGATTCGTGTGAATGCATAAGGGGTTGAAGACAGATACACCCTGTAGAGTGCTACATGGAAATTCTGCCTATTCTGATTTCAAATTCAAACTGTCAAGAGTTCTTTAACGTGCATGTCAGCGTGTACAGGGGACCTCTAGGCACTGCTCCCGTACCACTGACAACAGGAAATCGCCCTGGAATCCCCCTTGTCAGTGATGTGGGTCGTAGGGTATGACAATGACAGCTGTCTAGTCGTTCGGGTGGTACGAAAAACTAAGGTCTTGTCGTGCACGTAAAGATCCCTTGGCAGTTGGAATTCGATATAAGAGTAGGCCATAGTGCCGCTGCCTGGGCAAAATTTCCCTCTTAGCACACTGAATGGTGTATGCCCGTCTTCATTAGCCCAGTAGGACGTTAAACCCCATTTCATTTCATTTATCAGCCTGGATATTGCCAGCGCCTTACTCGCTGGGCTACCGAAGCTCCAATTATACGATAGGTCTAGACTGGATCCTACAATAAACACCGCTACCGTTAATTTGAACTGATTGTGGCATCATATTTGAATATAAACACCATGTAGCATTACGTACAGTTTAATTCATAACAACTAGATTATTAGTTAGTGTTAAAACTCATATGGGATTCTGGAAACGTGCCAGATAACAGGAAAATGGCATTTAATGTTAACACATATAGCAATTTATGTAACGATAACGAGAGGCTTTTTATTTGGTGGCTATCCATAGATATTGGTTTATAGTGTTCGGGTTCTTGGCACATAATTTTGTTTTAGTGCTTAATGATACTAATGATATCTGTTCGACCTATATATACCAACGAGATTTATTGTCGATGGTTCCGTGTATATGGACAGAAATTTTAAAATAATTATAATGCTATTAATTGATTTAATTCAACATACGTCCCTCCCGTCTTTATATAACGGAAAAGTCTCGAAAACAAGCATTCTTAAAATAATTAGGAACCAAAAACAACACTTGTTTTCAGTAAATGACGCTTTTCAAGATGGTAATGGTGGATCTTATTAAACAATATTAGCCTCAATATGCATATTGAGTAACTGGTATAATTAATGAGTGATTAATGATAAGTTATTCCGGTTTGAATATATTCAGTGTCGATTTAAATGTAACGTATAAAATAACATATTAACATTTACAAGTAGTAACTGATAACTATTTTAAGCTTCAGCCAATTTTGTCGAGTAATTCTATTCATGGCTCAAGACCTGGGGATAATCGTATATAGGTTATATGCAGACACTGAATTAGAAGATCTATTATTTATCAATCACAGATATTGCTGTAGTATTACCGATCGACAGTTACTTGTCATTACATGAATACGCTTTAAATGTGTATGTATGTTTGATTGACACAAGTATTATGTTGATGCCTTTATTTACTTTATTTATTCAATATTCCAATAAGATAATACAGTGGATGGTCAAATTGTGAAATCTTGATGACATGACAACAAAACATGTGATACGGTAGAGATCAGCAAACATTCATTGAATGAGTCAAAGAGATTGAACACCTCAATTAAATCTGCTTAAGGGTACATTATGTAAGAGCTAAATCGGCATATTGCAGGTCTTTGTCGTCAAATGTTATATAAACTATTATTTAGACATGTATTCACATGACAAGCCTATAATCAAATCGCTGGGCCATCAGATGGATTATATTTGAACGAATTAAAACACAAGCGAGATTTAAAAATCTAACGATAAATTGGATAACCGAGACTTAACCTCGATTGTCATGTACAGTTGCTACGATAATAAACAATCTACGTTACATCTCCATACAGTCGTAATTTTACTCAGAACATAATAATTTGAATGAAATTTTTATTATACTTATTGTTCTCATTATCTACTTTTGAATTATTATAGCACGAACAGCCAGCTCTTTATTTAAACCTTACACAATGCATCTTCATTAACTGGACCACAAAGTGATGCCTGTGGGTAGAGTAGACATAGATATGAAGATGTATTTCCAGCTCAACCCAAATAAAATACGTGGTCAAATAAAGCAGGAGCCCAATACACGTCTCGGGTCTTATCAATAACACACGTATACCGTTTTATAACCAACAATCAAGGTTATCGGCTAATCATTTCACTTTTAATATCAATTATAACATCCACGGTGTTACCGACGTCTGCAAATAAATCATTATACATTCCAACTTTAATCCAATGCCAATGTGATGCGTCGGTGGTGTGAGTATCAAATCGTGCCCTGGAAGTGTTGTTCCATAAATATTAGTTCCATCATTGGTAATAATTCAAAATACGATCAGAAAATTTCCGTTCAATCAGATCTCCAAACAAAACCAAGTGCTGGAGGAAATAAAATAATTACGTCTCTGTAAGTTGCAAGATTCGTCCCGACAGGAAAGGCATGGTAAATATAGTTGGAATTGGTTCCTAGTTGTGGAACGTTCACGCTAACGAGCTTCTTTAAATTGACTTTATTACCCTCATTAAGACATACTGCCATGGGGAACTAATCGTACTTGTCCTCAACATGGGTTGTAGAACAATCTGTCACGTCTCTTTCTGAACAAAACATTATTCTGGACTCCTAGTTAAAAACGGAGTCGATAAGTCTGAAAATAGATTCTTTGCATAGCGGTCAGACACAAATACTTCCAAGCACATCCTGTACTCTTCACGCTTGATTTTTCAGCCCAATAGTAATTCAAGACTATTTTCCTTCGATCCGATGGTTCTATACATTGCAAATGTCCCCAGTATCCAGACATCCAATTTAGACTATCATCTATTTAAAATAGCCTTTAAAGCTCATGGGAATATCGCTATTTAATATCTTATAAGGGATCATACAAATTCTGGACTTGAGGTTAGATAGCTTTTGATGGAAGTTGCATTAGCGTAATCCATGTCTTTATCCCCAATTGTATATTAAATTAATTGTAATGACTTTTCCATACTCGTCAGTCTATTCTATACCTTTCCTTTTATTTCATTTCCCGTTTTCAGTTTACTGCCACACCATATGTACGTAACACATAGCTGAACACCATCTGAATATGTTTGACCATCTTCTCTGCAAGAATTAAGACACTAACTCGGCTTTAACCGCGAAAATCTTACGGCGCGAAAGTGGGGATGGAAAGGGATATTCACAGCTCCCATCACCGTGGTTAAAGGCACAGACCTTTCGAGATACAGTGTCTAATGTAAACTTGTCAGGACCATTCTCGCCCCGGTCAAATATTGTGACATCTCTGAAAACCCCCTAGAAAACCGCAAATCTTATTTGGCCAATTCTATTCGGAAACAATTGTTTTTATACCCCCTGGGGCGTATTGTACTATAGCAATCACAACTGGATTGGTTGTAATCTTTAGCTTCTAATTGTCAATCAAATATAGTAGACATTAGAAAGGGTAACACTATGCTTATTTTAAATGATGGGTGTAAATGTAATTTAACTACACTGAAAAAAAACTTGTGTTGGATCTCAACACAAGGACTTGTGTTAAAATTATTCAACACATAACTTGTGTTGTTTTGCATTGTTTTAACACAAACTTGTGTAGATAGATAAAATCTTGTGTTTTTTTCATATAATTAACACAAGTAATGTGTATCGTCAAGAATTTTTTTTTTTTGTTTTTTTTTTGTTCTGAATTCAGGAGTCCACATGTTTAAGAACCTATATAGATCATAGTTTTGTCAACACGGCCAAAAATATTAATAATTGCAAAATTATATGTTATATACATTTTTATAACACATTGACTTTTTTTATAACTGAGGTGTTTATCATTTGATAAAATATCAAGTGACTAATAATCATTTGATTTGGTTTCAATTAATCAAAACAATGAATTGAAAAGCTAAATTACATGCTGTTAAATTCTTTACAAGACGGGTTTGAGTACTAATTAATCAACTGGTTAATTAAGCCACAAACACAAGAATTCATGATCAGCTTATACAACATGTTAAATAATAGAAGCCTTGAAACCGTATCCATGCCCAATAAATCAAGGTAGACTAAACATTATCCCTCCACGTTCATCTCTGTTTTGTCCGATATTCGTTTTGTATGTCTTTCCCCACTAGCACTCATCTCATTTTGCACTTGTCATGAAACGTTTCGTCCATTTTATTGTCCGCTGTAAATATATATAAATAACTAATTCTTTAATCCCTTTTTTTCGCTAATCACATTGTAAAATATTACACCATGTACACATAACATGTTATTGTCTGCGATATCACCTCGGTGGAAGCGGACGTAAAATACAACTAACTCACACACACACATTATCCCACTTGTCTGCGATATCACTTCGCTGGAAGCAAACGTTCAAATAAAGCTATTTACGACACAAATTATTCCGTTATGAATTTCATATGTATGTTTAATCCATTAATCCAGATAAAATTTTCCTCATATACCCTATGGCGTATATATGCCCGTCTTCATTAACCCAGTCGGTGCAGAAAAGTAGGACGTTAAATTAAGAGAAACAGTAATCCCAGTCATTAAAATGGTTTAAACAAAGGAGAGGGGGCATTTAATCGATTAAATCATTACTTTATCAGTTTGAATCGTTTTGTCATTAAAATAACATGCATATTATTTTATATAAAGGGTGAGTATCTTGCATAAATAAAAACAACGTACAGCATTATTTCCATGTTTTAAATTTAAAAATCCAAATTATTGCTCCTTAAATAAATTCTTAATTTATTTCCATACTTTATGTAAGTAATATATTACACAATTACTTTGTGGTCCTGTAAGCAAATTAGGCAAAAGTAGGACCTTTAACTTGACAATTCGGGCACCCACCAAAGGATACACGTCTTCAACAAGTATAAACATGCATTTGGTAGGTATTGTTTGTATGCATAGCAAACTTACAGATTCATGTTCATTTTATAATAAAGCATAATCTACCGTTAGATTTTCGACTGAAAAGTACCGCATTATAACAGTAAACTGAAAAGAAAATGTCGAATTGACAACGTAGTTAATTATTACTTCTTTTTTTTTTCAATTAATAAATGTTTTAGTTACTTAACAAAATATTATTATGGCAATATCCACTGCTTTTCTGAGACAAATAACCAGACAGATTAGCATGTTAATTGTTGTTAAGATGTCTGCAGTTTATACAATGTCTGGAAGTTTCTGACTTTTATTGGCCCAATAATCTGGTAGATCAAAGAAATACATAATGTACATGTGAATTTTAGCACATGGGTGTTTTTAAAAGTTGACTCAATGTGCGTGGGAAACAAATTAGTTAAACTCTTATTTAATTTAATTGGTTGTAAAATCGAAATCGTACATTATTGGTTAACTGAAAAAACCAATCAAATTTAATTAATCTTACATAAATTGGAAAACATTATTAAGCGTGTCTCATAATCGATTTATTTGTTCGGAAACCTTATATTGTTTTTTAAGCTTAGGATATTTTAACTGTGTGGCATTATTGTATTATCGTATTAGCAACGTTCAGTCAGATACCCTGAAACGGCGAGACTGCTTTATTATTGGGAGTGAATTAACCTAGTATCAACAGCGTCCCGACAGTGACAGGCCGACTTTGAAAAATAAAATGGAAACAGAGAATGTAAGACCGCAGGTTTGTAAATATTTACATAATTCATGCCATGTATTTGTAACATTTATTTAGCATCGATATTGATTCTA